GATTATAGGCAAAGCTGCACCTCTTCTCCCATGACATTAATTAATATAAATAACTGCAAGGATCTCTCTGAAAGTTTGGATGTTTACCTGCCAAGCCCTACTTAACTGGTGTTCGCAGTGTATGTCAAACATAGCTCAAAAACATCACCCAGCAAGCCCTTCCCACGCCACACGGCTGGTGGACTGTAATTAAACCACACCAAGACACAGATTTCTGTATTAACTGTTCCCTGCCATTAAGGAAAAGGAAATTTGGGTAGGCGGCTCGCTTCAAAAAGTAAGAGTGTGGATGATTGAAGGTGTTACTCCCGTAATATTCTTGGCTCTGTCAAAAAAGGTAAATATGAAATCTGATTTTTTTTTTTTTTTTTTTAAATTTTCTCTTCCCATGCATCGCTGTGGTTGAAAAAGCAGAAAGGGCTATGTCAGCCCAGAGTAGGGTAATCCGGTAGTTAGGAGCTGCGCAGGAATTTGGAAGAACTGGTTTCAATTCTTTATCTGACAGCTGATTCCTCACATGTATAAATGTTTATTGCCTCTGGTCACCATCTGTAAAATGAGGCTAATGCTTCACAGCGGGGCTGAGGATGAAGCTGTCCAGGCTGTGATGTACTGAGAAGCTTCAGATTGGTTTCAGTCCCTAAAATGGGCCATGTTTAACGTGATAAGTAGGTAACCTGCAGTTCCTCAAAAGGCTTCTCGTGTTCCCCGGAATGAAAAGATTTAGTTGCTGTTTCATAGATTTGGACTCACAGGGAGGAAATGTTTAACTTGTAGCATGGGTTGTGGCCTCCAGGTAGGTGGCCCTTTTTTTTACCTGAGAAAGAGTGAATAAACCAGATTTGCCTAGTTTAGAGCTTCTTGAGGAATGACCAGGCTCCGGATGCATGCCCTCAGTCACTACAAAAGAGTTCAGTAATAACGTATGCTTATTTCCTTTGTTTACACAATTTACCAAGATTCTGGAGGACATTATAAATAAAGAGTACTTCATTAGTAAATGTCACTTCTTCCTTAAAAACAAAAGCACCAATAAAGAAAAATTAAAGAAGGCTCTATAAGCTAAAATAAAGAAGAAATCAGGATACAAAAAAGACCACAACTCAATTTTTGCAACATTAAGAGCTTTAATGGCTAACTACCTAAAGTGGGAAGACAAATGCTGTTAACATTTCAATCTGATGAAAGCCATGAGCTTAAAAACTGGCCTGCCCATGGATGTGGTGAGTGAGCTGCAGGCAGAGAGAACGACAGCTACCGAAGCAGTAATGCGAGAAAACGTGCCTGGTGGAGAAACGGGCCGATGAAAAGTAAAGACGGTTGGCACAGCCAGGGGAAGAACAGGGCTCTAAGGAGGAAAAAAGAGGTGACAAGTAAGACTAAACTTGACCATGGGGTTTTCTTGGCTGACAAAGCTGACCCAAAATGAACTGGGGGGGGGGGGGGAGTGTAGCTGGCCAGACCCTGATCCCCCCAGCCAGCTGCTCTGTGCCCCACCGCTGGCTCCTCCGGCATGAGGAAGTCTTTCAGCTAACTGGAGATACTGGGGTGGACAGGATGTATGAGAGAGGTTGTAATTCAGCACTGGGTATCTTTCCAAACCAGGGGCAGGAAAAGAGAAAAAAAAAAAAAAAAAAAAAAAAAAAAACAACCAACAAAAAAAATCCAACCCACAAACCACCAAACAAACAGAAAAATAAAAGTGCTTCTGTGGTACCAGTTCGAGGCAGACTGGGCTTCACCATGACCTAAGTGTAACAGCTTGCCCTGTCAAAAGCTGACTGCAGCCCCTGCTTCTCAGAATCACTTAGAATTATTGAATTTAATTTAATAATTAGAATTATTTATTTAATTGTTTGGCCAGAGAGCTATCTTGGAACTGGAAGCAAGCTGTTAGGCTATAGACGATACTCACACTAACCTCTTTAGAGAGAGGGTTACTTTATGCTGAACTTCAGCTATATGCTGAATGTAAATACTTGCATTAGCTTTGCCTCTGGAAGAAAAGCAAAAGCGAAAGTAGCAGTGCAGTAAAAATCACAACTCGTAGTTCAGTGCCTTAGCACCGAGAAAGTTAATGTTAGATTAACTGCTGCTTAATTGAGAATCATTTTACTGTGCATTGTTAATCTGGCCATAATTTATGGGCTGCTTCTTCCAGTTACAAGTGCCTTTTTGTACTTCAGGACCGCAGGTGATATTGTCTGTCAGAGTTTTGCAGTGCCCATTATCCGGCACCTAAGGCATTTCATTAGCATTTAAACAAGACTTAAGTGCCTGAGTAATTTTGAGATAGGCTGTATCTGCATGGCTAGCTGACTACTGCATTTAATTAATTTGCAGACTTCTTCCTTCCTTGTTCAGAGGGAAAAATGCAAGCTCTGTCTAAAATCCGATGGTGGTAGGAAGAACAGGCAGGCCACAGTTCTGGCTGCTGCTGAGGTTTCTTGCTCAACTTGCTATCTCTTATTTCACTATTCAGCTCTAATGAAAAGCTTTTTCTCAAAGAGGAGAATATTTGAATAGTGACCAAGAATGGAGAGAACTCAAACCAATGAGTTGCCTCTGATTTTTGTGCCCTGTCTCTGGAGGCAAAGGAAAACAGATTCATTTGTCACAAACTGATCACACTGCAGAAAAGCGATGACTGACTTAAAGGCAAGACTGCCAGTTTGGAGCTGGGGGTGGCACTGGCCTGGGTGCAGTGGGTGGGTATGGTGCAGAGTGCACGCAGGCTCGCCAAGGGTGAAACGGGCTGCAACACCTATCAGCAGAAGTCTCTCTGCAAGTTCTCCTTCAGTCCTGATGAATTAATGTAATGTGGTCTTGAGATGCTCGCTGCCTGTGCAGACAGCTCGGGCAAGCTTCTCCTCCAACAAGTAAAGCTGAATGCTTTTGGAGAACTGAAGTGGAAAAGGATGTTTTTCACTAATGTGGCTAGCCAGTATTCCAGGCTAAGTGCAAAATCAAGCAGGACCCCAGGCTGTGTGCTCCGGTGAACCGAGAGCAGATTGCTGCCCGGTCAGCACAGGGACACGCTGACCCGGGAGATGTCACATGAGTCATGTCGGGGAGTGGGGTCCTGGAGCTTTTTCTACTCTAATAAATAAAACAGCATGGGAGGGACCTAAGGCCCTTGTGACACAATGAAAAAATCTCCGTGTTGGGGAATTTTCACCTCCATGAATTAAAATCATGTGACAGAGTCTGTGCGTGTAATGGGGATTTTCAGTTTTGCCTGATTATAAATGCTTAATAGGAAAAGAGCAGAGTAAAGAAGAAAGATTTCCAAAAGAGTGGCTTGGCTACATTAGCATGGGGTTGAGATGCTTTTATTTTTGAGATGCGGTTTGAGATGCATTCGTCCTAGTCACAGCAACTGAGAAGATGCACAGCTCAGCAGGGCAATGTTAAAATACCCCTGTTAAGGTTCACGTAACTAGGGCTGGGAGGACTGGTCGGGCCCTGGTTTCACGCACACCCAGGCACATGGGGCTCGTTTCTCCTACCCCAGCACCACCTCCAGCCCCGGGGGTCCCACTTGGGGTATCCTCTGGGGGCATGGGCAAGCAGGGCCAAACTCGGTCTCCAGGCTCTGCAGGGGACAACCAAAGCAAGGGATGGTCCCTCCCTCCTAAATGGGGACAGAGGGGCAAGGCAGGGCCGTCTGTGATCAGGATTGCGTGTCGTGTCATCTGGTGATAAATACGAATTTAAAGCTTTCTTCTGCACTTTTTCTCCACGGTAAATCCATGCTCGAGGAGGGGATTGAAATCCTTTGAACCGTAGTGCTAATGGTACCGTTAATTAGATGCCTATTTCTTTCACTGTTATTTTTACTTGGAATGACTTCTACTACACGAGGGGTATGACCGAAGCCTTACCTTGCTGTGGGGTGCAGCCGAACCCCCAAATGCAGTGCAAATGCTCTGCCACTGCCTGGTTCCCCCCCCAGCCCTGCACCCCCCCCGCAGGGCCCGGCTCTGTTAAGCTCAGCACCGCGCTCTGCCCGCCCGTCTGGCCTGCGTCAAGCTCAGCCAGCTTGCGGATTGTCAAACCCATAGTCTCCGTGTTAAGGAATGATTCTGATCGCCGGCAAGCATATTGTATAGCATAATCTGATTAAGCATTGCCTTAGAACCAGTTTGGTTTCTTGCACCCACTCCTCCGGAGGGGCTGTGACAGAAACCTCCCTTTCCTCCGCGCTGGTGGACCCCTTCTGATTTCTGAGCCGAATTTATTCGTGGCCACTTTATACCCATTTGTTCTCGTGACAGCATTGTCTTTTAGCTTGAACAGCTCTTCTGCCTCTCTGCTGTTCCCCACTTCGATGTACTTCAGGAGGCGAGTATATCCCTGTCGGTCCTCATGTTACTCCACATTAAATAAACCAAACTCCCCCTTTTTTTTTGTAAGGTCCTCCTGCTCCGCTGCAGCCGCAGCAGCCTGTATGGGGCTGTACAGAAGACACTGTACACCTGACATAGTGCGAGCAGCCTGGGGGGGCACTTTGGGGGCCGGGCCCCTTTGTTCCCCCCCCCCTCAGCCCAACGCATCAGCCCCTTCCCTCAGGCCGGGTGCTGGAGCGGCTCACAGAGACCCGGCACCCCTTCCCCGCTCCTCTTTGCGGTTCACAGGGGCGCTTTGAGTTCCTTGTGGGGTAGAGCAAAGGGGGGGGAAAAGTGTGCATTTCATCATTATTATCATTATTATCATTCTTATTATCATCATCATCATCATCATCATCATCATCATCATTATTTATTATTATTATTATTATTATTATTATTATTATTATTATTATTATTATTATTATTATTATTATTATTATTATTATTACCATTACCATTACCATTACTATTACCATTACTATTACTATTACTATTACTATTATTAAATAAAATCCGGGACGGCCCGGGAACGGCCGTTTTGCGCTTTTCCAGGCGCTGCTGGGCTCCGCACCGCCGCCCCGTCCGGCTGCCGGGCCGGGCCGGGCCGGGCCGGGCCGGGCCGGGGGAGGAGCGGCGGCGGCAGACGGAAGTGAAAACAAGAGCGGGGGGACGGAGCAGCCGCTGCCCAGACGCGCCGCGGGTGTCCTCGCCTCTCCGCGCCCTGCACCGCGCCGCGCAGCCGGGGTGAGTGGCGGCCCGGCCGGGGGGGGGGCAAGCAAAAAGAAGGGGGGGGGGGGGAGGGAAAAAAAAAAAAAAAAAAAAAAAGAAAAAAAAAGGGAGGAGTGGGGAAGCGAGAAGTCAGCAGGTTGGAGGGGTTTTTTAAAGCTTCACGGTGCTTGTTTTAATTGATTTTCTCAATTTAGGGTTTTTGGTTTTTTTTTTTTTTTTTTTTAAGCAGGGCGTATGGTTGGTTTGTCGTAGGCTGGGGAGCGCCGGGCCGGGGCTGCGCCTCCGAGCACCCGTGGGGTGCCTTGTCCCGCGGCTGTGGGGCACCTTGCCGTGGGCCGAGAGTGTTGGGGTGACCGTGGGGGGCTGCTCGGGCGCGGGGCTCCGGGGTGCTTCGGTCCCCGGGCTTTGTGTCACCCGTGGGGCTGTGCGCGGCCGGGGAGGGGGGGGGGGGCTGTGGGGACGCGTTGGAGCGAGACCCAGAGCGTGTGGGGCTGTCTGGTCCCACAGCCTGCGGCTGCCGTGGGGCTCCTCGTCTCGGGGCGCTTACGGGTTTTGGTGGGGGAGTTGGGCAAAGGAGGTGCCGGGGGGGGGGTGTGCTGGTGTTGCCCCCCCGGCACAGCCACCCCTCCCGGCGGGCAGTGGTGGAGGCGAGCGCTTCTGCCTGGGTTTTGAAATTCCCCCTTCCAAAAGCAGATGCACCAAGCGTTTGATCCTCTAAATGAAAGTTGCACAATTTCACCCGTAGCTGGTTTGTTTGCGCAATGCGCCCCACATGAAGTGGGGTTGGTGGGTGGCCATACACTATCTTTGATGTTCCTCTAACATATTTTAAGAGATTTGTTATATTAAACTTTGACTGGATCTTCTTTTGTCTGCCGTTCCTTCCTGGTATACCGGCAAGCCTAGAGGTGCAAACATGGCAAAATCGAGGGGGTGAGAAAGGAAAGATGAGGGATGCTGAGTGTGATGCATGGCATTGCAGCGTGCAGTCTCTACCCTCTTGTTTGCAGTTGCTACAAATGAAACAGAACAGTATCCTTTTCAAATAACATTTAATCTTTTCCTAGGGCTGTTATTGTAACTAGCTGCTACAAAGTTTTTTTTTTTTTTCTTGTTTTTTTTTTTTTTTTTTTTTTTTTTTTAAAAAAAAAGCTATGCAAGTGTTTCAGTTTCAACTGATAAGTAAAGCCTGCTTCTGCCGATGAACTGCGTGTGTGCTGGTCACTAGATGGGGTTTACTTTTCTGCAGTCTCTTAATTTACAGTAACCTGTCACTGTGGTGGATTTCATTTTGAGGGAATGAAAAGAATTCGTATTCTTATATGGAAAGAAATCTGTGACTAATTAAAAGCCTCTTTTTCTAAGGAATTCGGTGCACAGAGCAATTAAATGACCTGTAGTTCTCACTTTAGTAGTGAAGGAGTCCCCTAAGAGTCCTTCCTCAAACTTGGTGGTGGCTTTTTGTTTCTTTTCTTGCTCTGCAGCCACATGAAAGCCCAGTGGTGTGTGTTTCCCCCTCAGTACATTGGAGTTTGTTGAGACTTTTAAGGCTGGGTTGGGCCAACACCCGGGGTCAGAGCTGCCCCTTTGCTGGATGCCCACAGGCAGGGGCACGTCAGGAGCTGCCCAGGTACCCAGGCACATCTGTTTTCTGCTCCCAAATCTGCATCCTAATATATATTTTGTTCTGCCCAATGGCAGCAGCCCCGTTCTGGGTTACCCGAGCGGCTGTCAGTGTAAATGAAGTTTACCGTTTGACTTAGAAACAAGTCTGAGCAGCGGATCTCTGGGAGCTGAAGCCAGAAACATGTGTTACCAATGGCTTTCTCGGGGGGTGACATTAAATATGTGTGATGGCCCGTGAGGCTGGGCTGCGTTTGCAAAAATCCACCACCTCCAGAAAAAATGACACACACACACCCCCTGCAGTGTATGAAGAGCTAAAACTGGGCTTTGTGGAGCTCGGTGGGGTTTGCAGCCTGCTTGCTTCTGCTTGGCTGAAGGTCCACCTTAAATGTCCCTGTACGAGTACGGCATCTGGCTGTGCCCGGGTGTAGGCTTACACCAGCCCACCCTGGTGTGCTCCTGCCCGGCTTCAACCGTACAAAAATAGACGGCATCCACTACCTAAGATGTCATTGTAATGTTACTTATCTGAGGTGAAACTGTAGCCCTTGTCTTTGACACCGAACGGCAATTAAGTGCCTCTGTTGCCTTTTAAAGGTAATTTGTTGCCCACGTTCGTGGAGGGGGTGGGGGGGAGAAGATGCTTGGGTTTGGCTTCCTCAGCACTGAGTTGTGGCCATGGGTATTTCGCTTTAGTTCACAGCTTTCGTTTGAGGGTTGGTTTTAATATCTGTTTTGTCTGTAGCATTGTTCTACCAATGTGGAGCTATGCTATAAAAATAAAAAAGTCACAGGGATTTTATTTTCTTCTGATTAACTTCAGAGTTGTGATGTTTTGACATAGTTTTGAAACTGTCAAGGCATAATGTGTTTAGAAACAAGCTCTGAGCTGATGACATGGCAGCATATGATATTAATTTTGTTAGAAATGAATGTGCCAGTAGTGCTAATTTCTTCCATACTTCGATTTAAGGGATCCTATCAATTCATGCTTGTCTCAATGACTTTTTTTTTTTTTTTAAGATGAGCTTTAATGTTGGGTGTTTTTTTTTTTTTTTTTTTCCCCCTACAGAGTATTTTGTTAGTAAGATGTAGCTGTCAAACATCTCGGCACCAGAAATTCTCAAAGTCCCAAGTCCATGTTACCAGTTCCCTAGTTATGTTTCTTCCTAAACTATGGAGGAAAACAACATGTGAGGAATAAAAGCATAAGCAAAGTCAGACCTGGTGTGGGTTTTTTGGTTGTTTGCATACTATGGAAGGGAAAAAAGAAAGAAGGCTTTCGAAACGGTAGACGGTGCCTTTTGTTTTTGTCACCTTTAATTTAAAACTAATCCTCTTCCACAGGCATCAGTTCTTTGGATTTGATCCTTGAATACTAAACATCATGAGCAACTACAGCGTGTCTTTGGTCGGCCCGGCTCCTTGGGGTTTCAGACTCCAAGGGGGCAAGGATTTCAACATGCCTCTATCTATCTCTCGGGTAAGTGCATTTGCCTCTTGGCCTGCATGTGGGCATCTGTTATGCTGCGGCTGACCTGTGACCTTCAGGCATAAGTATGTAAAACCATTAATTACAGATGCTGGGGCTGAACTTGCCCTGTGGCATGGAGGGCTGTTGGGGTGGGGGTGGGAAAGCTGAGAAAATAAATGTTCTTTATTGTCTGAAGACTCCAACAAATTTGTCTTAGGAAGGACATGTTCATTTGAAATGGCTGTTTTATCTGCATTTATTTATGCAACAAACAAAAGAAACCACCCTTGAATTCCCCTCCTTGCTCCCACCCAGAAAACAGAGATGCAGAGGTTGGGGGCTGGCAGGAAACAGGCAATTTTCAGCACAGGACAAATGGGAGGAAGCGGAGATGGGGTGGGGGGGTGGAAAAATCACTCCAGTTACCCTCATTTATTCAGCAGCTTTTAGCAGCTTGAGGATCTTCTGGTGTCTGTTCTTGCAAATCCCACTGTTTAGAACAAAAAGGCACTTCAATGACAGTAGTTGTAAATAGTGATTGTGCCACTTTTTCTCAAGAGTGTTTTATAGAGTATGTGCTCTGAATTGGTATTCAAAGGATTTGAGGAACTAAGTCAAAATAAATATGATCTTTGTACCCAGGCGCTATCTAACTAGCTTCCTACTTTAAAACCACGTTTTCAGGGAAGGCTTGTCTTTCAATGTGGGCTGATTTTCAAAGCCTTCCTCAGGCAGCTGAAGTGCTTCACATATGAAACATAGGGATAAATTTTGCAGTATTGCATTTATAGGATCATTGGAAATCTCTGGGTGGAGAAACTCACTTCTGGTGGTTCCGTACCCTAGCACCTTTAAAACTGATTTGCAGTGTGGAAGCATTTATGTACAAATGGCCCCTTCTCTGTCAACAGCTTTCGCCCCCCTCCTGGATATTCATATAGTTTAGTGACAAAGATTAATTATTTTTTACACCTGTTGGGACTGCAGAATTGATACTGCCCTGGGAGACGGAGCAGGTTTCTATTTGGGTTTATGCATCATGGCAATATTTTTAGCTAATCTCAACTAGCGATGCAAACTCTGCTAGTTCATTTAGAGTTGGCTTATCCTATCTGCCTCTGGATTATGCTGGTGAATTTAAAATACAGTCTGGCTCTACAAAATTGTTTTTATATGGCTAACACGGACTGTAGAGCTGTAGAAATGCCTGTGTAGAGATGAATACAGCTGAGATCTGAGCCAAAAAGGGCTTGATAAGCAGTTTATTCACAAATTCTGGGGGCTTTCAAGCTAAAATATAATTTAGTTTCTTGTTCAGTAGCTGGTTACTCCTACTCTAATGAGAAATTTGAACTGGGGATGCAGATAGTGCTCTTCTGATTTGACGGTAGAAGTGCTCTCATAACAAGGATTTGCAAAAGTGTAAGCTCTTGCCTGCATAGGGTAATTGTGCATGGTACTGATGGGCAATTAAGTGCTGTAGGCAGTAAACCATAGTAAAGAGCTGGTTTTAGGAAAGAGTAGTACTTTTTTTGTAGGGGCCTCTGCTGTCCTGGAGATCTAGAGTTTCACTCCCGCTGTAAGCAGGCTTCCCATCTAAAAGTTTCTAAAGAGAAAACATATGTTGAAATTAGCCTAGACTACTACTTTATTGCAGGAATCAAATATGCTGTCGCACGGAATAGCCTAGGGGAATTGACCTAAATAGCTACCTATAAAAGCCTCAGTTAAGGGATTCCCTAATGACAAATGTCAGTGCCCACAAGAGAAGAACGTAATGAAAAAATGGGGACCAGGGTGATTTCAGGACTTTAATTTGTGCGTGGGAGGGGGAAGCACAAGATCCAATTCACCTATTATACCTCAGCACTTTTCCTCAGCTGAATTGTTTCTTCTTATTTGCAGTTAAGAGCATGCAAATATTAGGCTGCCTGGTGTTCGCCCCCGCCTCAAAAAAGGTGCTTAGTTCTGGTCTGCCAATCCAGTTTTGGCCCGATAGTTGGAAGAATTCTATGCTGTATTCCTGGTATGCTAGAACAGCGTGTACCATTCACCCCCAACACCAGTCGTTCTTGTCCTGATGAAGCATAAATGCCTTCCTGTATGTGAAGACTGCTAATTAAATTATTTTAGCAAAACAGTAGTGAGGCAGCAGAATTATGTTCTTTGGCAAGGAGGACTTTTTGTTTATAATTTGTCTTCTAGATGCTGAGGATGAATCTGGCTGCGCTGCTGAGGGCTAATTTCCTGCTTTAGTTTAAAATCCTTGAAATTGAGTTCAAATAAAGTACAGTTTATGAAGTACAGAAAATACACTGGTTTCTAAAGCTGTTTATCTGAAAAGCTAATCTCTCTTTACTAGTGATCTGAACAAATTAAGATCTCATATGGTTCCTTGGAGAAAATTTTTAGCAAGTCATTTGGCTTTGTACACAATGCGGTTTAAATGGGTGTATTCCTTTGCTGCCTCTGTAAGGTAAAGTGAGCCTGTTTTGTGTTCTTCAGCTGAAATTCTTAATGTCAGTTAAGGTGTAACAGGTTAACGTTAATGCAGGGGCAGCAGGAACATTGGATTTTTCATAAACTAGCATATTGTAGGCTAGTTGCAACTTTATAACCAGTGGCAACAGTTATTGCAGGGTTGTGTCAGCCTCTTGCTATAGCTCTGTTAGTGCTTTAAAGTTCCTACGCGTACTTATGCAGCTGTACACATCTCATGGTAAGTAACATACATGATGTTGGGGATATAGCCCTATAATTAACGGCATAAATCAGTACAACAGAAATGCATGCAGTACCTGTTATGTATGGTTGTACCTGGCTGGACTTTTCACAGTCCTCCCCCTTACCTTGCCGAGGTGCCTGTGGGGGCCCCGCCACGTGCCGTTACGGGGATTCAACCCCGGGGAAGCTGATGTGGGGCAGGAGCTGTGATGGGGGTGTGGTGGCAGGTCTGCCTCTCACCGAAGAGGGGTCAGGGGGAAGGAGGCTGCTCTGAATGCAAACCAATCTGATCTTTACCCTTCAACCAGGAGTAGAGGGTGGGTTGAAGCTGTAGATCTACCTCTTTTATTAACTGCCAGGTGTTGAAGTGGGTCAGGCCACCATGCGTGACTGTACTGTAGGGCTTCCAGGTAGTTTATTCTGTAGTGGTACTTGTATAATGAGAGATTGCACACTGTGACTGGTTAGCCTGCAGTGAAGAAGGTGGAAATTACTGGAGCCAAGGTATGCAAACTCAGATTATTCTGAGCTGCTGTTCTTGTTGCTCACGGCATTTTACATTAATTAAAGAAGCAACTGCTTTCCTTCTTCCTTCAAGACCTATGTTGTGATGCCAAACTGAAAAAAACTGAAAGCTAAAGCAGATAAGAACAAATTACTGAGATGCGAGGTTGTTTATATTCTGATAACTGTAAAGTAGCTATTGTAGGAAATTATTAAGATTCAGATTTTTTTCCCTGTGGAAGAAAAGTTTTAATGTCTACCCATCTATCTGTATTATATGTAGTCATGTGAAATGACACTTGTCATAATGCCCTTGTCTTCATATGAATGAATTGATTGCTTCTGAATCAACACAGACCACTGAAAAGGCAGCTACTTAATGGGCATCTCCATCTGCACCTGGTAGATTTGGGAGGCATTGTCCCAGCACTTTGTGTGTGGGCTATGCCGCAAGAATTACATCATGAGACCTCCTTGTCTCTCAATTATTTCCAAACAAAATTTATTTCCGAGTTGCAGGATGTTCTGCTAAACACAGAGCTGGGTCAAAAAAGACTGTCAGATCAAAACAATTGCAGCTGAAATATTTTGGTTTTAATCGTGATTGTCATTAATAAGGGATCTGCTATTGCTGATATCCATGTAGATCTGTGCTCTTGGATAGATCCTACTGATGCTAGGGATATGCCCATTTTGGGAATAACTTTGGTCTACACTCAATAGATCTTAACCTTCTAGATTTGTTTGTGCAAGAGTTTGTTTCTTCTGCCGAATTAGAATAACGAAAAGCAGTTTAGGAGATTAAGTATTCTAACACGCTGCTAGGTAGGATTCCTGGCGTGGCTCTTGGGCATGCTAAGTATTACATCTACAGAATTTGGAGTCAGTGATCTCTAAAACACGGTTTGTGTTGTTTGTGTGCAACACAGTAACTTTTAAAACTTCCTTAGAGTTTGAATTAACATTCTATTTGCTTTACTTCTTTGGGGAGTTGGTTAGTTCCCAGTGCTTAATTAACAAAACCAGAGTAAACTCCGTAAGCATGACTGTAGCATTAGAAATGTTAAAACTGCCGTATTCTGCAGATTGAAATAAATAGTGTTTGGTATTGATGATGTACTCATTATATTGTGATGCCCGATGAAAGGTTTAGTTATTTGTTGTAAATGTATGCTTGGAATGTTTGTAGCCTATGGAAAGTTTTGTCATGCAGCCTCTAAACAGTGTTTCTGTTTTATGCCAGTATTTACCACTAGAAACAAGGAAATATTCAAGTGAAACTATAGTTTGAACAGTAATATAGCTAATGTACAATATACCCTCCCACCTAATGCAAATACATAGGATGTTTTCTTGTATTTAAAAGTTACTTTTTTGTTCAATCCTGGTGGCAACTCTAGCCATCTTTCTTCAGAAGATGTTTTGCTATTTGCTTTTCTTTTTCTGTAAGGATTAAATGGAATATGGTAATCTTGAAATGCTTGACCTGACAGCTCTGTTTTTCTATCGCAACTCCTTTGTGTGGGGTCCCGCCCCCGCCAGCTTCTTCCTGCTTCACTGGTCACTTCTTGACCTCTTCCAAAAAAACAAACCAAACAAACTAAAAAACCCCTTAGAAGTAGTGCCGTCTTTTTGCAGTTTTTCAGTTTCATTATTTCATCTGTTTCAAGTATGTTTTTCTGTGGTGTTATTGCAAGCTTATAGCTGATGGAAGACTCATGATAATGAATCTATCAGCAAGCAGTACATCTAGGGAGGAGGGGGAAGAGCAGCCCACCTTG